ATTAACACTTTAGTCACATATTATAACAGTATTCCAGCAATGAAATGCAAGAAAATGTTGGGCTGTCTTTCCCTTCCAACTGTGTGGAATGGGCGACAACATACACAGGAAAGACGTCTATGCCAAGTAACCTGTGCCAGGGCCAGCCTGGAGCACAGACGACATAGGCAGCTGCCTAGGGCGCCAAATGCCTGGAAGGGCGCCACACAAGAGGGTTTTTTTTTTTGTCTTTTATTAAAAGTATTGTCATTGGCACATCCTGTTGTCCTTCTACTCTGTGGAGGCAAAATATCCCACCAATATACTGGTTACAGAAAACAGCATAGTTATTATAAACATTACGCCCCATATATATTAATATACAATTACTAATTATTTGATTTAAATTTGTGAATGTTGTATGAATATCTGCTTTGCATTGAACTCCATCCCCCCATTCAAATAACAGGGGGTGTTTAAAAAAAAAAAAAAAGAGCTAGATGCAACGTAATCACACATTGAAAAACAGGTGCATTGCAATGCATGAGCATCGCGATGGCATCACTATTGTGAGCATGCTTGTCACTTGTCTCAATTTAAAATAATGAATCCGAGCGTGTAAAAGCCACAAAAAGTAGCTAAGGTCCTAAGGAGGTTTGTGCTGCTCTTGGACAAGGCAGAACCCCAAAGCCTTCTGATAGAGGTTTGGATCTGATATAGTGAAGGAAGGCTTGGAAGTCTGGTGGCTTGTGGTCTTGATGTGGAAATCTGGAATGTCTTTACTAGTGGCTGAAGTGACAACTCACATTCTAAATGAATGATCAGAGCAGAGGTTGAGTAGAGGTGGAGAAACCAGAACCTCACAGCTACTGGTTCGGAATCTGTGAAGAGAATATGGATGGTAGGAGAGGCATTGTGCCGTAGTCATAGATGATGGACAAACAGTGGATTGTTAGATTGTGTTGTTAATTCAGTACATCTTAGAACCTGAAGAAGGTGAGGAAGAATGTTGCTTCAAGGGAAAAGGACGCTGGGTTTGGATGATAAATTGATTGGATGGTGGAAAGAAGTCTGATGTAAATGAAATGAACATGTTCAGGGGCAGCACCATGAGAATAGTGTCCTGTGTTAGATGGATGAGATGAGAGGTGTCTGGGTTTAGATCAACAGCATGGTAGATGAAAGAGGACAAAGCATTGGAAATTCCTGTGTCTGGAGCTGATGTCCTGGATTTCTAGAAACAGCAGCGAGTGAGAGACTGCAATCTTGTTACAGAACAGGGACTGTGCATGGCATGAAGGGTGAACTGGTGCGATATTACTAGACGTGTGAGCCGACATGAGTGTAGATATGAAGAAACGGGTGACATCGTTGAGAACCAGAACAAAAGGATGCACAAAAATCTAAAATTAGCCTTTTAAGTTTCAAATGAAATCTCCTCAAACTCTAAAATAACTGATTTTCTGAACATTTGCTCCAATTTTTATTCTCAGAGAAATCCTAACTCTATAAACTCAGTCTAATCCACCACGTGTCTTCCAGTGATATTGCTCATGTTCACGATTCTGTCTTTGTTGTGCATGTGTGTGTGTGTGTGTGTGTGTGTGTGTGTGTGTGTGTTGCACCTATTCACCCTGTACCATATTTGATTAGTCCAATGTAGGTATTTTTATCTGTCACCCTAAGTGTAACTGCTGTTGCAATCAATGCCCTACCCTCTTGTTGTGCTCATCTGCTGTCCTACAGGTTGAATGGCGTTTCCTGTGGTTCTAATAAAAGGATGCTGCCAAAGATCGAGCATCATCATTGAGATCATCATTTCCTGCTAACCCAGAGGTATCTCAAGAATGACTCCTGTTGTTCATTGTCCTGTCTCAGCTATTTCTCCTAAAGAATTTGAGGAGAAACATATCAGGCAAAATAGAAACTAAACTGAGGCTGAATCACAAATGTGGCTCCTGAGCTGTATCAGATACAACCTAGGATACAGCCTTTAAAATGAAAGACTTGAAAGATTAACATGTTCCCAGGTTAATGTTGACATTTAAGATATCCATATGGACTACAATTTAACTGTCTACACAAATTAGGAGGGAGAAGTACTTCTTTCCTAGGTTCACAAAGCATTCACCAGTGAAAAGATGGTCTTCCTGGACTGAGTGAAATCTTGTGACCTAAACAGTCTGTGCCACTCCCTTCAAGCAAAGGACTGCTTTAGTTTTTGTGGAACTGAAAGTACTGGTAAACTGCAAGGTTAGCAACTTACCACTGTCCCATTCTGATAAGCAAAGAACAGTAAAAACTACAATGACAAACTCCAAGTGTTATCAGGACAGCTGGCGGACCAGCACACCACTCTAGTCCCCAAGTATTTTTCCACTGAGCATACGCCCTGATGACACCGGATTTATGACCAAGCTCATCTTCACAAACTAATATAACAAGGATGATCTTAATTAAGATGAAGTACAGACAAGTTTGGCAGATTTTTCTGGTTTTGTTAAAAAAGGGCAAACTGTAAAAACGTGTAGATATTTAAAGTATTCTTCCTTACATCTGGTTACATTTGTGCCTTTGGCTGTAAATATGTTAATATTGCATAACTTTTTTCTTTAACACCACATGATATACAGTAGTTTTCTTAATTCTCTTTAGTCTTATTAGTCTATGTTTTGCTCTTTTAACTTGTATATATTCTGTATTTATACTGTTTTTACTGTTGTGCACATCTGGGCCATTGGGCTGGAATCAAATTCCTTGTATTTTTGACAATACTTGGGAATAAAGTTTATGCTTATGCTTTCTTTGGGGCTTGGACTGTATGGTATGCTGCTTAAACAGTTGGCTGCAGCAATGTGATCTTTAGGTTGTGTGGAACAGGACTATTAGAAGAACATTTGTTAACAAGAAAAAGTGAAAAAAAAGCTGCACCAAGGAAAATCTAACAGTTTGACGCCTTACCGATAACCTCTGACCCTAAGATTCTGGTCTGATTATCTATTATAGAAGGTGCTGCTTTTTCCCTTTAGTACAAAACTAGAACACAGGACTGGCTTTTCAGAGGCAACCACCATATGTTCATTATCTCAGTAACACAGCACTGTACTGTATGTACCCAACGAGGGAGGCATGCACACTTCATGTCTTCAACATGTGCAGTGATGAGCTATAAAAGTTCTGGGCTCTACAGTACATTATATTATTTAAAAAAAAAAGGTCATAAACTAATGAAGGTAGCTACTCACAATTAATGTTAATTGATATGCTCACTATGTTATTGATTTGCATGCTAATAACTGTGATGACATGGACAGGCTGGGCAAAAGAGGTAATATTGATGGGCCATAAAACTCAATCTGTAACTGTAACCACTTAAATGCTTGTTAATAAAACAGAGAAGACTCATTTCTACAAGAGGGCTTCCTTCTCTTGTTAGGCTACTTTAACTGTTAAACTAAGTTTCCACAATGGAAAACCAGACACTCTGGTCCTAATGCAAATAAGACTGATAAAGGCATCCCAAGGACAGTAAACTATGTTTCTAATGTGTTGACTCCAAAGCCTATGCTGGAGGTGTCTTGGCAAACACCAACCAAACACTTAGAAGGCTGATAACAGGACACAACATCTGTCTTATTGAGGGGAAACATTAAGGTGTCAAACATGACCCAATATATTTTGACAAGGCTTTAAAAAAAAACCCACATGTGGCATTAAAATGGTCTTTGTTCTTCAGAGAGGAGAGGAGCAGAAAATGTTTCCATTCCAGTTCAGTTGAGTGACCTCAAGAGTTCAACCAAAATAACAAATCTATCAGCTGTTGCAGTGCAGCAGCAGCAGCCAAAGCAAAAATTCCAAAATCTCTCAACCAAAATATTCCTGGAGCAGATTTAGCCACTGCAGAAATTTGGCTGTTACAGAGAAGTCATGAACAGGGGAAGGCTCAAGGGTACTGTATATCCCCTTCAGTCCTTCAAACACAAAAAGGAGAAAGGAAGATGGAGAATAATAAATCTCCCCAACACTGATGTTTGGCCAAAAGGGGGAACAGGTTGAGGCATGTCTGTGATCAAACTGGCAAGAGGTGGAAAAAAAAAACAAAAAACAGAAACAAAACTACTGCAACAATGCCCAACACCCCCATCTTTACTAAATGAAACATAATCACTGCTGCAAGTGCAGAACAGCAGCAGTGATTATGTAGCATTTTATACTGCATCTGCCTGACATGCTCAGACATCTCTGAAACAACACCAAAGAATTAAAGATTCTAAATAAAGTCGTTCAGGGAACTTACCCAACAACATGCCACATCTGAAACAACACCCATAAGATAAACAGGGGCACGGACTTAGTGTTCATTCAGAGCTGGGAAGCAACAGAGAATGTAAGTAATAAATAGAAATAACTACTTCTCATTAACTGTGGACACAAATCCTCCACTAAACACTACTAAAGCGAGAATCAATGACATGCACACACAATTTAGAGACTTTAATCATTTTGCCTTTGTGATGACCCAGAAAGATGAACCCAAAGCTGAATTCGTCACGGGTTTTGTTTGTGTTTGGTGGAAGTTGCGGCTCATTCAGCCATCATGTGTCATCCCCTTGGCGTTTGACGAAACTGCAGCATTAAATACTGGTGAGGTGATTTCGCTGTGTGGACTAAAACAAGCGCAGCAGGAAATTTGGTGTAAAGTATTCGGCGTTTCATAAATGCACAATGAGAACGTGACGTGTCCATACCTCTAGTATTCTTTCCAAGTCATCTTTCGTCAGACAGGGATAGTCCTGAAGTATTTTTTCCTTCTGGGCACTGTACGTTTTTGCAGCCAGCTTCCAATTGGGCTCCTCCAGGACTTGAAAAATTGCTGCCCCAATGGACAGGTAAAAAATAATGGCAGAAGTCAACAAGGGGCCTTTATCTACCATACTTAAAATGATTCAACTTAGAGAGCGCGGGACAGGGGGGGAAGAGTGAAAGGAGGGGTAGATAACAATACCCGAAGTTATGCGGGACTCATTCTCAACAGCAGGTCTTTTTACCGCGCGGACGGCTCAGAAAAAGGAGTGAGAAGCAGCTGTGCGGACACCATAAAGTTCCACGCACAACAATAACACGCACACTAAGCCGAGCGTGCGCGGACTGCAGACCAACTGGTGTTGTCTCCACGTGCGCCTGTTGAAGTGCTGAACTGTGAGTAGGGGAGTGCAAAGGAGTAGCAAAGACCCGCCCACTTCCAGTGGGAGGGAAGGCCACTTACTCCTATACGTCTGTTCTCACCCAGGTGTGCAGCTGTCCACTCAGTGGAACACAGGAGCAACGCTCTCTACAAGTCAGGAAGTGCTCAGCATTTCTGAACATTTCCATAAAAGACAAATGGAATAGAATTTGGCATAAATGATATTATTGTCACTTTTTTTTAAAACTTTCAGGAGTTTGCTAGAAACTAAAGTGGTGTAGCCTAATTATAGGGTGCGTTTATTAAGAAAAAGTCATAGGCCCTAAATCAAAAAGAGACTGCAAGTAAAGAGAGGTAATTTTTTCACGCACTAAATTATATAAAATAAAACATAAAAATCTTTTTTTACTTTGTGTGTGACTTGCAAATGTGAAGGCTGGTTTTAAATAATTTTTTCTGTTATGCTATAGATTCTTTAACTTATTCTGTTAATTTGCATGCATATTTGTAAGAGCAAGCACTGAACTTCAGCAGTCTGAATTAATGCATTCAAGTTCCACATTTATCAGGTTTTTGTGGAAGGAGCTTCCATCGATTGCATTAATTTCTGGCATCCAAACTCCAGCCTAACTGACTTAAACTAAATGGTTTTTTAATGTGATCAACTGGAAAGACTTGAAATTGGGCAAACACAAATGTAAACATTGAGTTTGTGTAACACATGAGCTCATCTGCCTGCAAAGCCACGATACAATTTTATATGTTCATGGTTGCAAATTTTTATTACATCACTTCAAAAAAATCCCACCACAAATAGTATATTTTTGTATTATTGTTTTTTTATGCTTTGCTGCCATCTTGGCCAGGGCACTATCAGAAATTATGTTTTTAACCTTCTCCTTCACTGGTTAAATAATTAAATAAGTTCTACTGGTTTCTCCACCCCACATCTGAACCTGTTTGATATTTTTAAGAATCAGGTGTGTCTTGAATATCCCTTTAGGGTGTTTACTTGTGGAAAGATAGTGTTCATCAATATGAAGCAAATGAAGAAGTAAAGCTGAAAAATGATGATTAGTTGAACCTTCTGTAAAGGTAACCTGTGTCGTTGTCTGTGGACTTGAACTGCTCAACTGCTGCATTCTGTTTCCTTTGTCAATGCTGTGATAAGCAAAGAACAAACATCCATTATCTATACCACTTATCCTGAATAGGGTCACGGTGAGGCTGGAGCCAATCCCAGCTGACACTGGGTGAGATGCAGGGACCACCGTGGACAGGTCGCCAATCCATCACAGGGCTGAAACTTGGAAACAGACAACCGCACACACTCCTACAGCAATTTAGAGTCACCAATCACCCTAAACTACATGTCTTTAGACTGTGGGAGGAAGCTGGAGTACCTGGACAGAACCCACGCAGACACAGGGACAACATGCAAACTCCACAAAGAAAGGCCCAGGGTCAGTCGGGGCTCGAACCCAAACCTTCTCGCTGTGAGATGATAGTGCTATCCACTGCACCACCATGCTTCCCCAAAGGACATCAGAACAAATATATTGATTGCAACTTGAACACTATAGTTCAAATAGGCCCACAGATCCTCAGACAGAGATAGTGTGGTTTATTAGCATTGCAGTCAGTCAAAGCACAGAGTTGAACAATGTATGTAACTTGCATTAGAAGGAAACAGACACATGAGAAACATTAGAAGCTGTGAGACAAGGAAGCATCATATTGATTTACACTTCCATAATCACTATTGTCACACAAGCTTAATACACACGTGGATAAAGGTGTCAAGTTGTGACTGAGAATTCAAGGCATGCAACACAATATTTCCACATGACGGTGTGCTACAGTACTTACACTAGGCCTTGTCTCTCAGTGTGTGTCTGTTTTGTTTTATGCTCCATTGCATATAAGTAAAAAAAACTCAAGTGCTTCATGTTCAGACATCTGAACTCCCACGTTTCTGTGTGCTGTGTATCTTTCTGTAAAAAAAAATATTATTTTAATGTCAAGTGCAACTTCCTGTCATAACAAATCGTTAACCACAGTGATGCTTTTTCCTTTACACGCTGGCATTCCATCAAAAGCTTTTCAAAATGTATGCGGAACTGTGTAAAAGCCAAGATTACATTACCTAGTTTAAGTGATGACTGTACTAACCTGACCGTACAGTTACAGCTCTGTGTGAGTTGTGGTGGTGCTAGGGTTAACCTGTGGCTTACGGTCTGTTGGATATCCCATAGCAAAACACCTTCATCATGTCAAAAAACACCATGACATCTTATGTTTCAGGGGTCAGAAGTATCCCGCATTAATATGACAGCACAGTTAAATTTATTATACACAAGCTCTTCTTTTATTAAAATATTTAGATTAGACTCAAAACAGTAATATGTGTGTTCATGACAGGATCCTCTGTTCATGTCTGCAGGCTGGGCTGGCTTATCAGACTGTCATATTCTCAAGGCTCATGCGTTCTTCACAAAGACTTGAATTGAAACTTGGTGACAGCTGACTTTTTTTTACACACTTTATAACCACAGATAAAATGCATTACCCCTGAGGTCATTCAGATCAACTTTTCACCAAAGAATTTGGCATGCAAATTTTATTTTTGTCTCCAGGTTTTTGCTATGTGTGTCCATTTTCTCTTTTTGTCAGTTGGTGTCACTGGTCAGTGTAGGTCACTGGTTGTTATCAACTTGCATTTAGACTAATCAAGGAGCAAAATTTAGACCAAAACACTATAGACCAGTCTAAAATGATGTAATGTAGCATAACACACAGAAATACTTTCACAGAGTTATGCAAAAGCATGCACTCATCCACACATGTATGGCCCTAGCTGTTAAATGGTTTTTATCCTTCCATGCAGTGTACAGTGGGCCAGGAATTCATAGTAAAACTACAAAAATAAGAATGGAAAATATGATTACTTCTACAGCATCTGACTTCCCTATTATTGCATTTAAAACATAAATGCATTGCTAAGCAATATAAAAGTCATATACTTACCGACGATGTCTTCAAATGATATACAAGTGAAGATGCCATGACTTTTCCTCACTATCAACATATACTCCTTTAACATGGCTGCACAGAATTACTTGCTCTAGGGACATAAACAGTAGGATAAATGCAAGAACAAAGGCCCTCTACTGCCTAGGAGGCAGTATTACACCCACATCCTCAGCTGCCTGAACAGAGATGAACAGTGAAACGGCTCAACATGTTAAACAAGGTCCTGACACTGATAGATAGCACTTATTCCTCCTTTGTAGTATCAGTGCCCCTTGGAAACCATCTTACCTCCAGTACTGGGTAAATTCACCATAGAAAGGATGATGGAAAACACAATTGAAATCAGAAGTTTACACACACTTAGGTTGACGTCATTAAAACAGATTTTTTTTTTTTTACCATTCCACAGATGTCATGTTAACAAACTCTCATTTTAGTAAGTCAGTTAGGACATGTACTTTATGCATGACACAAGAAATTTTTCCAACAGTTGTTTACAGATAGATTATTTCACTTATAATTCACGTTATCACAGTTCCAGTGGGTCAGAAGTTTAGTACACTCAGCTGACTGTGCCTTTAAACAGCTGGGGAAATTCCAGGAAATGATGTCATGGCTTTAGGAGCTTCTGATTAGCTAATTGACATCATTTGAGTCAATAGGAAGTGGATCTGTGGATGTGTTTTAAGGTCTACCTTTAAACTCAGTACCTCTTCGTGTGGCATTATCAAGTTAAGTCTTGTCAAGAATTTTTATTGTCATTATGCATAGCACAACAAATTTTTTTTTCCGGCAAAAGACACATTATTTACATAACACAAAATTGTATAAGTCAATATAAAAATATGAACAAATAAAAAGGGATGTATGGGACCTAATCAGGTCAGCAGCATGTTAGCAGCAAGAGTGTAGTAACATTATAAGGTGTAGCTCGGTGCAAATCTCAGTCTTTAGGAAGAGGTGTGAGTATGGGTGTGTGTCTCTTCAGAGGTCCAGTGTTCTGTCTGTGTCTGTCCATAGGGGTGAGGGTGTGTGTGTGTGTGTAACTGGGGGTTAGGGGAGTGATTGATTCCACAGCTCTGGGGAAGAAGCTGTGTCTCAGTCTGTTTGTTTCAGTCTTTATATTCCTGTACCTTTTCCTGGGTGGGGTCTGCAGCAATCCATCCCGCCCTCCTCTGGATCCGGTCAGTGTATAG